AAATGAAAGAGAGGAACGAAAAAACAGAAAGGCAAGCCAAGGGAGAAGAAGAGAAGGAAATATCAGAAGAAGAGATAAGGAAGAGAAGAAAGAGAAGGAAGAAAGGAAAAGATAGATAGATAAGCAAGAAAGAAGAGAGAAAAAAAACGAGAGAGGAAATTATAGAGATAGAATAGAGTAAGATAGAGGAAGGAGAGAAATAAGGATAAGATGAAGAAATGAAGAAAGTTAGGAAGAGTAAGCAAGAGAACGATAAGAGAAAGAGAAATGAGAGAAGGAACAAAGAATAAAATGAAATAATATAAAAATAATTAATGTATATATATTATATAATAAATACCATATATATATATAAAGATATAAATAGTATAAAGATTAAAATATATTATTATGAGAGAGAAGAGAGAACAACCGATAGAAAATCGAAGAACAAGGAGAGAGAGAGAGAGACCGAGAAAGAAACAAGAGAGAAAAAGAACGGAAAGAGAATGGAGAGAAATAGAAAAAAAATAAAAAAAAAAAAAAAATAGACAATAAAAAAAAAAAAAAAAGAAAAGAAGAAAAAACAAAAAAAATAAAAATAAAAAAAGAAAAAAGAGAAAAAAAAAAAGACAAAAAAAAAGAAGAAAAAAAAACGAAGAAAGACACAACAAAAGAAAGAAAAGAAAAAAAAAAAGAGATATAACAAAATAAAGTAAACAACGGAACAGAAAAGAAGAAAAGGAAAAGACAAAAAATGAGACTGGAAGAACAGAAATAAAAGAAGAGAGAAAGAGGACAAGGAGAGAAGAAAAAAAAAGAAAAGAAGAGTAAAGAAAGCAGAAGAGAGAAAAAAGAAAGTAAGAGGAATAGAAATATAAGATAACAAAAGAAAACAAAAGAAAGAAACTAAGAGAGAGAAAAAAAAAAAAAAGAAGAGAAAAGTAATAGACAAAGAAAAAAATAAATGAACCGCAAGGAACAAAAAAAGAAGAAACCAGATAAGAGAGAGAGAAAAGACAAGAAAGAAGGAAAGGACCGAAAAGAGAAGAATAGAGAGAAAAAGATAAGAAGAAGGTAGAAAAAGAGATGAAGAGATGAGAAAAGAGAAGGATGAAAAAAAAACGAAACCCAGGAAAGAAGAAGAGAAGCAAGAGGAAGAAAACAAAGAAACGAGAGAGAGAAGAAGGAAGAGAAGAAAGAAAGAAAGCAAAAATAGAAAAGATAGACGGAAAATAAAAAAGAGGAAAAGAAAGAAGATCAAAAGCGAAAATAGAATAAAAAAGAGAAGAGAAAGAGTGAATGATAAAGAGAGAGAGAAAGAGAAGAAGAGAGAAAAAAAGAAGAGCAGTAAAAGAAAGAACAGGAATAAAGAAAAAAAAAAAGAAAGAGGAAGAAGGAGAAGAGAAGAACATCGAGAAAGATGAAAAAGGAGAGACGAAACTGAAAAACAAAGAAGACGAGAACGAAAAAGGAGATTAGAGAGGAGACCGACAGAGAAGAGAGAAAGAGATAGAGAGAGTAGAGAGTATAGAAGAGAGGAAGAGAAAGAGAAGATAGAGAAGACAAAAAAACATAAGAAGAAAGAGAGAACAAAGGAATGAAACAGAAAAAAAAAAAAAGAAGAAAAGCAAAACAGTAACAAAACAAAAAAAAACAGCAAAACAGAGACAGAAGAACACAGAAGAAGAAAAAAAAATGAGAAAAAAAGAAACAAAGAAGAAAAAAAAAAAAACAGAAAGAAAGAAGAAGAAGAAAGAAAACAAAATAAAACATAAGAATAAACTAAAGAGAAAAAAGATAAATAGATATAGAGAGAACGAGATGAGAGAAGAGAAGAACGGAAGAAAAAAAGAAGAAAGAAAGAGAGAGAAAAAAAAACCAAGAGAGAGGAACAAGAGGAGAGAGAAGAGAGGAGAGAGGAAGAGAAGAGGAAAAAAGAAAAAATAAAAAATAATAAGAGACAAGAAGAAAAGAAAAAAAAACAAAAAAAAAGAGAAAAAGTAACAAATGAAGAGAAGAAAGAGAGAGAGAGAGAGAAGAGAAATATGAAAAAAAGAAAGAGAAAAAAAAACGC